TCGCAGAAAGCAAAATTCCTCGAAAATGTAGCTAATGTGATATACAATTAAAGACCTTCTTTTGGTAACGTTGGATGAATTTTATTGAATTCATTTTATATTATGTATTTCTAGAGATGTCCGAGACTCTTGGTCTTGGAACCAAGACTTTTATTGGGTTTTTCTGTCTTGGTCTTGGTGTGTTTGTCTTGGTCTTGTTTTGGTTTTCTTTTTTGGTCTTGGTTTTTTATCTTTTTACATTTCTTTTCAAATTATTGCTTTATTTCTGATATATTTCATTCATTTCTCTTCTTTTATATGTTATTTGTTGGGATCGGATTTTAAGGTTATAACCTATTTTCTCTGCGAAATAGTCCCGATTAAATGAGCTCAAATCCGTTATTATTTTTTAAATATCTTTAGTTTACGGGGAGTTATTATTAGCTATTTGAACCTATTTTGGCGTTTTAGAACCTAAAATAGGTTGTAACCTATTTTGGATGTTTTTATAATTTTTTCAAATTTTTGTCACGTATTTTGGGCATTTTTCATAAAATTTCGATTTATTATCAAAATTTTCAAAATTTTTTGAAAAACTTTACAATTTTTCAAAAATTTTGACAATTTTTCTTATTAAACAAAAATTTTTTCAAGTTTTGGAAAAATATTTTCTTAAAAATTCAAGAACTTTTTTTATTATAATTTTTTAATGATAATTTTGAGATTTAAAAATATTTTACTATTTTTTTTACCAATTAAATTTTTAAACTAAAATTTGTTAATCATCCACTGTCTTTTGTGACCACATTTTCAACCTTTTTATGTAACCTATTCTCCATTTTTGCGACCTATTTTCCTATTATTGTCACCTATTTTGGCATTTTATACAACCTTTTTAGTATTTAACTTATTGGTTTTATTCCAATCCAAATGTTGTCTATGTATAGCTATGATCATAGCTGTGATCAAATTTATATCAATTCTCGTAAATTCCCTTAAATTACAAACTATTAAAAAAAGGCCTATTGCTCTAAATATTGAATATTTTTTCTCTATTTTTCTTTCACCCTCAAGGAAATATTCAAATTGATAAATGAATTTATTATTTAACATTATATCTAAAAAAATTCAAAACTTCATTTTTGCCAATCCTCCCTTATATTTTTTTTAAAATTAAATTTCGAATATAAAAATTGGCTTGTTTTTAGAGAATAACTGCTTTAAATTAAAATATTATAGATCATCAAGGTTAATCGCAGGTGATAGAGAAAACATTTTTAAATCCTAAAAAAAAATTCAAATCCTAAAACCTAAAAATATCTCCAAATCCTAAAAATATCTAAAAAAATATTTAAATTGTAAATCTAATATATAATTTGGCATTCTATCTAAAAAATTTATTTAAATGACAATTCATACTAGTATTTTTTTTTCTCTTCTCTCTATCATTTGTGCTATTTCTCTTTTGATGATTCATAAAATCAGAACTGTTTTTTTCCCTTTTTTCTTAATTTTTATTGAAATTTATCATTTTTTATTTTTATTTTTTAAACAATATTTTTTCTTTAAGGAAATTTTTAAAAAAGGCATTTAATTGGGTAATATTCTTTTGACATGTCTAAGCGCAATTCTTCAGAATTTTCTCCTTTAAATTTTGCAGCAAATATGACAAACAACGAAAAACGCAGCAAAATTGTTGAAGAAATTAATTCTTTAAATTTTGACAAAATTGCAACAGAAATTAAATTAATGGACCTTCTTTTTAGATTTTTGATTTATGTTTTCTATTAAAGCACCTTAAATAAGTAAAATAGTCGGTACGGAGTATATTTATTTAAACAAATAAATCAATTAAATATAAATTTATATGTGTTTTTTTTTCCCTTAATTATTATTGACTTATTGTTTTTTTGCTGTTTTTTTTTTATATATTTATTGCTTCTTTTAAGTGCCACACTACGACATTGTTGTCGGAGTAAGTGGCACGCCCTTTCGATGACTTTTTTTTATGTTGATAAATATAAATATAAATATTTTATATGTTATTTGTTGGGATCGGATTTTAAGGTTATAACCTATTTTCTCTGCGAAATAGTCCCGATTAAATGAGCTCAAATCCGTTATTATTTTTTAAATATCTTTAGTTTACGGGGAGTTATTATTAGCTATTTGAACCTATTTTGGCGTTTTAGAACCTAAAATAGGTTGTAACCTATTTTGGATGTTTTTATAATTTTTTCAAATTTTTGTCACGTATTTTGGGCATTTTTCATAAAATTTCGATTTATTATCAAAATTTTCAAAATTTTTTGAAAAACTTTACAATTTTTCAAAAATTTTGACAATTTTTCTTATTAAACAAAAATTTTTTCAAGTTTTGGAAAAATATTTTCTTAAAAATTCAAGAACTTTTTTTATTATAATTTTTTAATGATAATTTTGAGATTTAAAAATATTTTACTATTTTTTTTACCAATTAAATTTTTAAACTAAAATTTGTTAATCATCCACTGTCTTTTGTGACCACATTTTCAACCTTTTTATGTAACCTATTCTCCATTTTTGCGACCTATTTTCCTATTATTGTCACCTATTTTGGCATTTTATACAACCTTTTTAGTATTTAACTTATTGGTTTTATTCCAATCCAAATGTTGTCTATGTATAGCTATGATCATAGCTGTGATCAAATTTATATACATATTCAACAAGTAACTCCTTGAGACTCCTTGGCTGGAAAAATTGTAAGTGTATTGTAAAGCTTCGGTCTTAAGTGAAAGCCGAACCTTTTTCCAAGTGGGAGGTGTTGTGTATGGGCGACAGCCCTTAATGAGTTTAGTATAAAAGCCAGCCAACAGTTATTTAGCTTTCTCAGTCTTATTCCGTTTTCCTACCCCAATTTTAATCTTCTTTGTATTTTCTACGTGTGATAAACTTTCTGTTGTGTTTGTCGACGTAAACGGGGACGTAACAGAAACGAGAAATGAAAATTAACCGGCCGCATACGGATCGGCAAAACCGGGAATTCCCGATCCCTGTTTCCACTTTTATATAAGTTTTTTTAAATATTTAAAATTCACACATTATCTTTATTTCATAAATCATTAAACAATACCGCAAATAATAAAATACGAGTGAAAGTTTGAATAACAATTCCCTGAAAAATAAAAAGTAAATAAAAAAATTATACAGACATGCCTTCCATAAACGACCCTTAAAATAATTTAATTAAAATATTTAAAATTTAAATAATTTTTTTATTTTTACTGAAAAATATCTACAAATATAATGTAGAGTGCAAATCTGGTAAATGCTTTGACTTTATGAGTTTCAATTATTGTTTATCTATTATTTATGGAAAACCAACGATACCTTATCGATTTGTTAAACCTTTTTCGAGCGTACATTGGGCAATGCTCTGAATTGTAAGGATCTTTTGAAGAAGTTTTGGACCAAGTGGGAATTCACACTGAACATAACTTAAATCGACGTTCTTGGAGATTCGGGCAGTTCCTCAGATTGAGACTTGATATGAAGATTATTCTCAAAAGTTTTATTTATACCGGTTTTAAAATATTTTTGTTAAAAAATGTTTTAAACTCTGGTATATACTACTGTTACGTTAGGAGTTTTTTCTAAAAATAAAGTGTGTCATTTTAGGTTTTTACCTGTTTTTTTGCAAGCAGCCCATGATGAGATAAGTCGAAAAAACACTGTTGCGTACTTGTTGAGTTACTAGAGCCTAAAAAACGTAATTCGGCCTTTACGGACCTAAAACCTATTTTGAGCCTATTTCGACATTTTTGACCTATTTTAGGTTTTTGAAGATTTTTCTTAAATTTTGACTATTTTCAATCAATTTTTCGTAAATTCTATCGTCCTGAACATCAAAAAATCTAAAAATTTTCGCCTGCGGCGCTAATAAAATAAATTTATTTTATAAAACCACTGAACTTTTGCCAGGGCGTTAAAAAGAGTTAACAGTAAAGTTGTCAAATCCTCAAAATCCAAATTAATCGCTCCAACTACGTTAACTATTCATTTCATCCCCGTCGTTAACTATTCAAATCCCCCGTTCCCAATAAAAATTGAGTGTAATTAATAAGATGGTATAAGAAAGGGCAAATATTTAATTTAAAACTTTTAATTATTCAAAATTTATTAAAAATAAGAGTAATAATAATATTAAAATTTAAATAAAATATAATAAGGCAGATGAGATTCAAATTAAAAAATTCTTTGTTCAATGCCTTGTTAAATAATACCACCAATATAAAGCTGAAAAAATTGAAATAAATTTTTCTTAAAATATAATTACTACCATTAAATAAAGCAAACAATGTGGGAAACATTTTTGCAGCAAAAGAATCTACTTTAATGCTTAAATCGTCTGCTTTGGATTGATATGGTGATTCATCAATACTATTTATGAATTATATTAGTTATTAAAAAGGGATATGTTAAGGATTAGAATACACCCTGGCCTAAATTTTAGATAACCCTTTGGGACTGAAACCTCGTATCTTATTTGTTTTCATAGTGTTTACAAAATCATCCGTGACAAGTGTCAATACAATGAAACAAAATACGCGGAACAAAGCACTTTGACACTCAACAGATCTATTGCAAACGTAGCCTTAGGCAGTTTCCACCAGCCGTAACCAACCAAATTTGAAATGTTTAAATTTAGGTCTTTCTAGTGAGGGGTGTATCCTATAGAGAGGTCTGCAATGTTTTCAGTTACCTGCTCGGAGATTCCAGCAAGCTATACCGCTTTCTCCTTTCCCTAGGAGATAATGAACGAGAAACTTTGTTAAATAGAGCAGCTTTTTGTGGTCCTTCCGGCCATTTATCAATTACAATAGGTGAATGGCCATTTTGTGTAATTGAATTTGGCAAATATAAATTTGGGTTTGTACAAGTGGAGTCTGAAGATGTTGAAGCAAAGCTAAAATTGATGATTAATAGGGTGTTATAAACTTCCAGCTGTCGTTGTCTTCAGTCGTCTTAATTTAAAATCTCTACCTTTTTATCGTAGAATTATTGTTATTTTTAATTGTTTGTTTCCTCCAACTTTTCTTACTCTTTTGTCGTTTCTGATCCGATCGTTTTTCTGCAAATCCAACGATTGCCAGTTCAACTAGAGATGAGAAAATGAAGGATACACAAACAAAAAACCACAAATCAATTGCCTTAAAAAGTAGAATAAATCATGAATAGAGCTTGATCTTTGCGCAAACTTATAACTGAACCATTTTTAAAACTAGAGATCAGCCCGAAAAGAGAAAGCATTTCGGATATTAATACCGACTACCTTGAATAAGTCAGTATTAACAACACAATCATGGCAGATAAAACTTTAAGCTCTATCATAAATAAAGCACATCTCAAATCTTACAAGTACACTAGTATATATGTATATGAATCCGCATACTTAATTAAACTGGAATAACCACCATACTATTTTACTTATACAATAAAAATATTCAAATTTTAGATAGGGAGTAAAATATAAATTTATGAGTGATGGAGTTTTTCTACCTGACATACTTTTTTTCTTTCTTTATTTATACAAGACAAACTTTTTAATTTATTTACCTTAACAAAGCTAACTCTCGGAAGGTTTTTAACAACATTTCCAAATTGAAAAGTTAAAGCCATAAGACTAGATACTCCCAAAGTTATTCTTGCTGGCAAGGCACGAGAATCTAACCAAAAAGCTATCCAAGAAATAAACACAGACAAATATGTTGGTAAATACATTTGGAGTATATAATAGCCATATAAACGTTTAAACCGAAATGTTACTTTTAATTGATCCCAAGCACCTGAAAATATTATTCAAGTGTCTAATCTCATGATCTCAAGTTTCTAAGCTAATGAAGTGATGATGGGCACAAAATTATTGTATAATTGTATTCCCGCATTAACAAAAATGTTTAGATCTTATTCAAGTTCGGAAAGTCTGAGTTGCTAAAAAAAATTCTTAGCACAATTGACTTTACCATTTACAAGTGCTTGCTAACGCCCCGAACCCAAAAAATCCCATTAAAATCTTAATACTATAAGATGATTAGAGTTGCCGTTTTCGAGTCGGGCCGACTTTCGGGTCATTTTTTTCGGGCCTCATATTTATCTTCAGTAACTGATGTCTGCCTTTATGTATTTAACTACCTGCAGTGTATTCATTCATTTGTGTCTCCCAGCTAACATTATAAAAATGAAAATCAGGCAATTGAAGAGCTTCAGGTGGAGGTATAGTAACTGGTGCCCATTCTTGCCATATTAGACGAACCTTTAAAAATTTTTTTCTAAATTTTTCAAATTTTTTATTTACTTCTGCAATATTGTAAGAATAAGATTCAAAAATTAAAACACATTCTTGATGATCTAAAGGAAATTGGGACAATGTAAAAGTACATGGACCGCTAACTCTAACACGATAATTTAACCATATTGTGCCTTAAAAGTATAAAAATTAAATTTAAATAAAGGTAAAAACTATGTCTGACCTCATTAAAAGATACCCACCTTGGGGTGAAAAATCTCCCTTATAATGAGTGGTATCTTAAAGAGAGGTATAGATTGGTAGCAGGGTGTGCCAAACGAAAGATGGAAAAAGGCAAAATTCATCGAAAGTCGCAACGATGCATTCCTTTGGTATGTATCGAAAGTATGGCCAATCTATGGCAAATCAAACTTAAAATGTGTATCTTAAATAAAGGTGTATCTTATATCGAATGTATCTTATAATGAGGTCCGACTGTATATTTATTTAATTACCATTTGGATATATTATTAATAAAACATTATTGCTGGGTGAACGATGTACTTTTGTTTCTTTACTGTTAACAAAACAAACATTTGGTGTCCAAAGCTGTTTAAATATACTTGATAAATAATTCAGGTTATAAAAGCATATCCAGGGATAAGAATTAGGTGGTCTTCTAAAAGATGTTCAAGCCTTTCGAAACCAACCTCTTCGAACCTTCTGGATAACCTCCTCCAAAGGAACCCCCTCCCCCCTCCTATGTTGATCTGATAACCGGTGCCTTTATAACAGGAACATAAATGAAATAAAACACCTTATCCGCAACAGATGAGTCTAAGGAAAGATTAGATTTACACGAATAATTCCAATATTCTAATCGAGGATCTAACCAAATTTGAGAAAACCAGACATCTGCAACAAATGAACCAGTGATTTCTGAGATAGTGGAAATATCCTAAAAATTTTGAGTCACTTTAAGTTTTTTTGAAATTTGTGTTGGCGCCTTTCCCCGGCCTGGGATTGCGGATTATTTTGCATAGCATGGTTCATTTAGTCAGAATATCATCTAAAGTTAAAGCAAAAAATTCCTAAAATCACGATTACGCGCAGTCTTCCGGTTGTAACTTTTAATATAATAATCTGATCCGAATAACCTTGCTAAGCAAAATAACCCCCACATCTAAAGCTTCCGATTGATATTTAAATTAGTAAAATAGGTCAAGAAATACATAAGTTGTGCCAGAAAATATGATCTCGGGAAGAAACTAAACATCACACCTCATGCTTTCGATTGCATGAACAAAATACCTACCAAACCAAAAACACGACTTGCCTGAACAGTCAATTCAACACTAACAACAACACTTTCATTGGAAGGAAGAACAGTTTTGTCATACCCCGACAAAACATCAGTCAAAACACTTTTTCTATGAACAGAATCTTGTAAAAGACAAGGAGGTTGTTGTGTTGTTTTTAATGTTTTTGGTGTTTTAGTTGTTGAAAACAATGTTGTTTTTGTTTGTTTTGATGTTTTTGTTTGTTTTGGGGGTTGTTTTGTTGGTTTTGGCTGTTGTTTTTGTTGTTCATTTCTTTCAGTTTTAAATAAACTTGTTTTTGGCTGTTGTTTTTGTTGGGAGGCAAAAACATTTTGTTGTTCAGCAAAAGAGAAAAACAAAAGAGAGAAACATAAATATTTTAAGAAATGTTGAGCAAACATTTAAATAAATTATTTGTTTATTTATTTGTTTATTAAATTATTTCTTACTGTAATAATTATTTTAAATTTTAATAAAAATAAAAATTGGGATAATTTGTCATTTTTTAATTTTTAAAAATTTTCTAAATTTTTAAATTTGCTAATTTTCCATCAAATAAATGTTCCTTTTTAATATAAAAATTGTTTTCCTCCGAGCGGATTCGAACCCACGACCTTTAATTTTGAAAATCTGAAATTTATCCAGTTTAACCACAAAAACCAATTTTTGCCATTCTTGTTTAATGGAAGTGTAGACTAATTAAGGAGCTTAAAAATTCAATTTTCGAAGTTTAAAATGAGGAAGGACGCTAAATAAAGAAGTTTCGAACGTTAAAAATAGGGTTGTTGGCGGACGGTTAACCGAACCGGAACCGGAACCGTTAACCGGTGTTTTTGGCGAATTAACCGGAACCGAAAACCGGGGGTCGAAAACCGGCGATAACCGAAAACCGGTGACCAAAACCGCCCGGTTTCGGTTTTAAAGATACACCCCTAAAGATAGAATTTTTTGTGAATTTTAGGACATTTTAATTCCCAAAATATAGTTCGCCAAATAATTTCCTTCATTTTCTTTTTCGATAAATATAATTTCTTAAGAGCTTTATTATTTGAGATGTGTGGTTAAGTGGTGTAGTTATGAACTTTACTTGGTAAAGGTCCTTTAAAATAAGGGTGCCTTTTTCAAGTCGGGCCGACGGTGAAGGCATTTTTTGGGCTTCTTTTTATCAAGTCGGGCCTATACGAGTCTTTTTCGTGCCAAACATCTTTTCGTTAATAGATCTTTCAGTCCGAGTCGGGCCATTTTGGCAATCCTATTTTTAAATCTCATCCATTCAAATCAATTGATGTGTGTTTGATTCAAATCAATTGATGTGTGGCTCATCCATTCAAATCAATTGATGTGTGTTTGATTCAAATCAATTGATGTGTGGCTCATCCATTCAAATCAATTGATGTGTTGATGATCAATTGATGTGTTGCCAACTTTAGGGGGCATTTGCCCACTTTCCTTTTTTGCCCCTTTTTGACCTTTTCCGAAAAAGCAAGAATTTTGCATAGAAGCCTTCCAAAATTCTCAAAATTTGCGCCTGCGGCGCAAAAAATAAAGATTTTTCACTTTAATATTCTTGGGGTGAGGTTCAAAACCATGATCGAACGTACAAATCTTTTGACGACGCCTCTTAATCACAATTATTTATCAACTCCATTGATAACTTCTCATCCTCTTAATCCCCCGATCATCGATATTAATCCACCCACCGGTCATCGATATACCCCAATCCCTCTACTCTCCTAATATTCAAAATCAGCCAATTTTATCTCGCCATATACCCGTTAATTCCTCGAATTGTTGAAATTTGTAAATTATTCAGCTTATAGTGTATCGAATATTTATTTAAAAGCGTCAGAATGTGACATCTTAATGGGATATTCTGGATGAAAATTTGTCCAAAAACCGGTCCCGGTTAACCAAAAACCGGGGGTAAATCAAAAACCGGAACCGAAAACCGGGGGTCGAAAACCGGCGATAACCGAAAACCGGGGGTACCGGTTAATAACCGGTCGCCAACAACCCTAGTTAAAAATCAAAAACTTAAGGGGATATAATAAAATTTTGTCCAAAAAATAAATAAACGCAACAATTCATTCAATAAAAAAAAGTTAAAAGAGCAAAAAAAAATAAATAATCCATTTTACTCAAAAATTTCGTCAAAAAACAATAAATAAATAATTTAATTTTTTATTTCCTTTTCGTTTTATTTCCATACATTTGTCTATGTACTTTAATAAATTATTAAAAAAACCTCGCAAAGTCTAGGCAAAAAACGAAAGTAAAATGTTTAAAGCCAAAAATAAGTGGATTTTTGTTTTTTAAATTAAATTCTGAGTGAATTTTATTTGTTTTTATTTTTAAAATTTATTTTAAATTTATCCTTAACTGTCCTTTTAATTAAAAATAAAAGGGAACTTCCCCTTTTCCTCTAATAGAAGGCAACCTGAGACCTTTCTAACATTTTTAAAAATAAGTATAGACTTTCTTGTGATAAACTAAAAAGCTTTGAAATTTTGTATATATATTCTTTAGAGTGTTTTCTAATATAAACCAAAATTTGAGAATTTTTGATTAGGAATTCAGGGAGTTATAATTTTTCAAATTATTGTTGTATGAACGGTATTATGAATCGGTATAATAATTTTCACGAAAAATTAAAAAAAAATTTTTTCTTCAAAATACCTACTAATTTATCTCAAGGACGTTCTGTTCTTTATACTAAACAATTTAAATTTAATATAATTTTATTTTAAAAAATAAAAAAATTAAAGTCTAAGGACAAGGAATAAATATGTAAGCTAATATAGACCCAATCCAAAATATCACTACTAAATATTAGTGGTAATCTTTTGGAATAAACTCAAATTTAAATTAAATATTTTGGAAAAATAATAAAATTTAAAAGAGTTTGGGGTTTAATTTTGTCTGAATAAATAAATAAAGAATTTATTGCCCTCTTAAATGACGACAATAAGAGAAACCTTTTATGAGTTAGCTAATAAATAATATTTAAATTGCGTCAAAGCTTTATTGTTATAAAGATAAATAAAACGAGTAGAATATTCAAAATCTATTCTGATTTTTTAAGGATTCTTTTTTTATTAAGTTTTAAATGTTAAGAAATATGCAAAGTTTAAAGAAGAAAAATTTAAAAGAACAAAATTTTAAAAAAATAATAAATGAAAAAAAACATAAAAATTCGGATAAATTGTCCTGTTTTTTAATTGTAAAAATTTTTTAGAATTATAATTTTATAATTTTTTCATCAAATAAATGTTCCTTATTGAAGTAAAAATTGTTTTCCATCGATCGGATTCAAACCCGCGACCTTTATTTTAGGAAACATAAAATTATACGACTTAACCAAAAAGACCAATTATTGCCAGTCTCGTTTATTGCAAGGGAGACGTTTGTTGAAATTTAAAAAATTAAATTTTCGAAGTTGAAATAAAATTAGAGGTTTAAAAATTTAATTTAATTTAAAAAATTTTTTGCTTCAATGTTTATAGAACACGTTTTAGGGAAAAACAAAATTAAATTTTCCGCTATTTAAATAAATACAAATTTTATGGCTTTACGCTAATTGGATTTTTTGTAGGCTTATGACCTAATCTATTTTACTAAAAAATTGCATGAAAAAATGCAAAAAATACATGAACTGAAATGACCTGAAACTTTTTTTTCAAATTTTTAAAGGGAAAAGTGTAAGAAGAAAAAGTTTATTAAAGTTTCGAGGTCGATTAAAATCTCAGAGATAGACTTTACAAAAATCCTTGTGGATTGCTTCTGAGACCTAATGCCCTTCTTTACCATAATGGAGATAGGTCGGCATTTTTAGGTGTAGGAAAGCGAAAAACCTGAATTTCTGAGTTCGGAAATTAGCCGTTTCTGTCTATAAGAGAGAAAATGTAAACTTAAGAATGTAATTTATTAGAATCCAGGAATTTGCCATTTCCGACTATAACAAGAGTTAACTTATTATCTTATTGTTAGCAAGTAAAATTAATTTATTAAATAATCATGCAAAAATATTTTTAGAAAAATTTTCCAAAATTTTACATAATGAAAGAATTATTACAAGTTTTGAGTTAAAGATATGTATTACTTGAAAGGAAATGTAAAGCTGGAAGGAATTCGAAAAGGGGTACTGCAATATTATTTTTGCTGCAATTACTAAACAATCCTGCCATTAAAATGACGAGAATATTTTTCCCTTTAGGTAGTAAAAATGAAAAAAATAAACCAAAAAATACTTTTTAAAAGTGCTTCTTGAGACATATGCATGTTTGTTGATATTTTGTGTGTTTAAAGAGAAAAATTTAAATAGATAATAGAAAACATTTTAATATAATTAGCGAATTTTACTGAAAATTTCGGAATTTTGGAACAATTATTTCAAAGGTTTTGATCAAAAATATCATCAAAATCAGTGATGATTTTACAATAATGAAGCGTTCTTGAGTCTTAACTTAAGAATTACCAAACTAAAATTTTTGTAATTTTTAGAGGATCTGTTTGACACTTTTTAAGGGAATCTTCCAAAATTTCAAGATTCTAAGACTATTTTGTCAAAAGATATGATAAAAAAGTAAGATAATGTTTTTAGCGAGGGTGAGTCGATATTTTATACAATAACACAAAAATTAGAGGACCAAAAATTCAGTAAATTCTAGATTTGGTAAATAACACCTGTGAGGATAACTACATAAAATTTTATACCTTTATAGCTAATATAACAGAAGTTATAATAAAAAAATTAATAGAAAGTTTGGAGAATTTCTTTGAAGAAACTTTGGCTTTTCTGCCATAACTTGACAAATATCTAACCAAAAAATCTAAAATATGTCAACAAGATATATGCATAATACTATTAAGGACATTTCTACAAAATTTTATGGCTCAAACTTGGGTTTTGGTTATTTTATAGGCTCATAATTCTTCCTATTCTTCAATGGCATCACTATTAAAAATAAGGAAATAAAGTACATTTTGAGGGATATTTATTTTTCTCAAAGAAAGATTATCTTTTTTTAAACGGAAAAAATAGTAAATATTTTTAAAATAAAAAAATTTTAAAGAAAATTGTTGCGTTTATTTGCACTTTTTTGTTTGTTTTTTGATTTGTTTTTTAATATTTTTTTTTTCAAATTGCCTCAATTTTTAATGGTCTTTTATTAAAGATTTTAATTAGTTAAATAAAGATATAAATAGAAATATTTAGTTGAAAAAGATGAACAGGGCTACAGATCTCTTAAGCTTAAGCTAAAATAGCAAATGTAGACGGCTGGGAGCGAACAGGCTGGGAGAGAATATTTTAGAAAAATACTGTAAGCATATCATATGTAGTAGCCCTGTTCGCTAGTTTTAGAAAAAGATAAAAGACGTTGGTACATTTTAAAAGGTAAAC